TATTGTTTGCCCAAAATATTCTGAGGTGTGCACAGGGTTGCCGGAGACAGGTGACGTTACTTCGACGGAAGAAGAAGAAGAAGACGTTACTTCGACGGAAGAAGAAGAATGAGAATGAGAATGATAATAATAAGCAGTACACACTGAGGTGGGTGACAAGGGTAGCAAAGGCACTGTTGGTGAACCTGTGAGTAGTTCCGTTGTGGCATCAGACACCAATATGCAGCAAGAGAGAACCGCCGTGAGTGAAGGAAGTTACGGTGTATCTTCCCAAACCCCAATTGTCCCTCAAGCCGACAATCCAATCTGCGAGGGGTATCGTTGATGGTTCTACGGGTAAAGGAGGTGCTGGAGTCGAGAAAAGCAAACTATCCAACAATGTGAGTGGTTCACGTGACAAATCCGCAGAAGCACAGAGGAGTGACCGAGAGAAAAACGTATTACCACCATCTGAGGTCCCAGGCAGCAGCGACATCACCTCTGCAGAGAAGGGATACAAGTTTACTGATGTGAGGGAGGACTCAACCTACGCGCAGGAGTGTGGTTCTAGGATCCGCGTGGGTATTATTGCTGGAGAAGGTACTGACAAGAGTCTCAGTACACCGTACATTGCCTCTCTTGCACTACTTGTGTGTGTTCTTGCTGTAATGTGGGGTTCCATGAACCCCATTTACGCCCAGAAATAATAAGTAACTTTGCTTATTACGGTCTTTAAAATTAAATTGCATGTTTCAGACCGAATTACAAAATGTTTTTAATTTTGAGCAGTGTTCATTCCATGGAAAAAAAAAATCTCATAACTCTTAATCGTTTTTATTATTATTTTGCTTCGTTTGTTTTCATTTTTTGGAAATAACTTTTTTTTTTGCATTTTTTGCAGCAAACCCCGACTGCGTATGGATGTGATTTTATGTACACATACCGAGATCGAGAGAGAGAGAGTGCAACGGCAGTGGAGGGGGCGCTTGCGCTTGGGCTTCATTTCATTGAACATTTATATTGTGATCCTGTTTTAAAAGAAAAAAAGTTCTGAAAGAAATGATCTGACCTTGGTCGTCTCTGGAAAAGTACATAATATCATTTTTTTTTTTTTATAATTTATTATGATTGATTTTCTCGCAAAGGGTACGTTTTTGAAAGCCCATCCGATCCATTTTTCTCCGTCCTGTGTGGAAGGCACGTGTAAAAAGGCTTTCATAACCTCTCTTTCGCTAGTACTCAATCTTCATGGGTAGTGGGGAGTCATCTAAGACTCTTTATGAGGGCATTTATTTTTAAGATATGCGGCAAAAAAAAGAAAACATACACTGAGGAAAAATAATAAATGCCCTCTCCCCTTCCTTCTTTTTTGGGAAAAGCAAGACAGAGACTTTTAAGTCGAAAACAAATGGGTGGAATTGTTTGTGAGAGTATTTGTCTCTCTGCTTCTCTGATACTACTACTGTTGCTGCTGTTACTTTTTTTTACTTTTTTTTAATTTACTATATTTCCTGCTTCCCCATGTGCATCTCCTTACTTTCCCTATATTTCTCAAGGATTCTATGCGATGAGCACACTGTAACTGAAGCTGTCGAGGTGCTCTCTGTTGTTTTCATGTTCATTAACTTTGGTCTGATTGGATGGACGTCTCCGTTTATCTGGCATTTGAAACCCTACATACCTCTTAGAGGTGCGGGTTTCTGATCTCATTATTGCCGTTTGATATTACTGCAATTGTTATGTTGGCAATGGTACAGTGGGGTTTTGAGATTATTCCTCTTGTACTTAGACGTATAGGGCTCTCTACTAAGTCTTCTGCGTCTATTTCTCTCCTCGAATCTCCGCTACATCTATCTTGGAAAAGGAAAACCCTTACTCCAGTAAGTAGAATTGAAGAGTTTTATGCGTCTCTCTTAATGGTCTTTGTTGCACTGATCCTGTTGTACTATGTGGGCTGATGTTTTGTTCCCATATAGAAACTAATACCAGAGTAATGGGAGACGTGGCATGTGTACACTATTATGAAAGAATTGATGTGATGTTGAAAGGAAGAATCTCTTTCTGAGCAAACCCTTTCTTGCGGGGATCTATCGGGACTGAGGTTTTCTTGGCGCTCAATACAAATGAGGTGAGTCTTCTCTAACTGGAAACCCTATTTATTTCCCTCACGGGAGGGAAGCAGAATAACAAGTTTAACTTTCCCCAAAAGAAGGAGATAACCAAAAAGATAATAACTCTGACAATGCTGACCACCCCATTTCGGTGACAGGGCCCAGTGTTGTTCATTGTCGTAGGGAAGTCAACAGACAGAAGCAGCATTTCCCTCATATGCATCATGTTGTTCTTATTGCTGATCTGCTACTTTGTAGGGGCCCAACAAACACGTAGGGACCAATGAGGTCTTGTTTGTGGATGGTGTTATCTTTTTCAGAATGGGAGAGTGTTTCACCATGCCATGAACTGCACCATCCACATCAAGTTAGTACTGATTTA